AAACTATGTTGAATGCTAATAAAATAATAAGAAAATGTCCACTAACTTTAGTAACATAGAGGTCACTGCTAACCTTAGGAAGAACAGAGCCTATGGAAAAATAGGGATATAGCCAAGATTAGAGTGGACCGAGGGGTGACTGACAAATAAGGAAGTGGAGAAAGTGATTAGACACAACTTTAGATAATGGGTCCAACTTCCGAGTATAACAAACTGGGTTATAATGATGATGAAAGAAAACTGAACTTGGAAAAGATTGTGAAAGACACTGCTTCTGTGACAGCTCAGCCCTTGAATTCATCCTGAGAGGTTGCATTTCCTTTTCCCGTTACATAGGTCAGTACCGTGAATCATGAGTCCAAAAGTTTCCTTTATCATGTCACCTTCATAACAACCATGAACATGGAGAAGGGAGTTCACTGGGGGACCTTAAACATAAGTTACACACTACCATGATATGAGAAAGGCATGAGGTCGGGGAAGAGCAGGCAGGAATAAAGAAGTGGTCCTACTCCTCAACATCTGTTTCCCTAGCGGTTAAGTTCAGATCCTGATGAATATTCATAGAAAATCATAGCAGCAAAATGACACGAGTACATTTGGTAGCAAGCAACACAGAATGGTCTCTTCCTTAGTTCCCCTATTTATCTGGGAAGTGCATGTGTGCACTGAGGGAAGAAAATAAATAAAAAGATAGCACTCCTTGGTTCTGGAGGAGAGTGGAGTTAAAGAGAAACAAAAGCTAAATATTAAGATACCTGGACCCTGGGGTTCTAGGCAATGGATGGGTGGATGAATGGATGAATGAATGAATGGGCAAGCAACAGGAAATTAGTACGTTCTTAAGAAAGAACGGAGATTCTGTGAACAGGGATAACCACAGATGACAAAACAGAGTAAAACGTGTTTCGACTCTGTTTCCTTAGGTTTGTGTTTTAACAGGACTGTGAGGAGCTTCTAACCTGGAGCTATATAGGTTAAAATAGTGAGAAAAGGACAGGGTGGCTCAGAGGTTGGGCCTAGCTCACAGGGAGAAGCAATATACAGATATTTTACCTAGTGGCTCACTCTCTCTGAAGCTGTCCAACAGGCTTTTGAGGAGGGACCATTTCCACTTATGGGCATCTACGAAGTGCTAAGCACTGGCCCGTATGCTTCACATATGCTATCTCACTGACTCCTCGCAGAAATCCTGGATTGTAGGCATTCCCATCCTCACCTGACTGGAAAGGAAACTAAAGTTCAGAAAATTGGTCTGTTCCAAAGTCACAATGAAGGGACTTGGATTTGAGCCCACATGTGCTAGACTCTAAATCTACGCTACTTCTACCAGAACAAGACCAAGGCTAGGAGAAACCAACCTGTTTCAAATGAGAGGGTGAAAGAAACGTACTGGGGGCAGAGGGCAGGAGGCCATACAGAAAGGGAAAAATTGAAGTATAAAAGGAAGTAGGAACCCTCTTTTCGGAGAATGAGTAGAATTACAGAAGAAATAGCCTAGAAAAGAGAAGAGAATCTGACTTGGGAAATGGGAAAAATGCCTGGGCTTGAAAAGAAGTTCAGGAACTAGGGACAGAAAATCGGGGTCTGGAAGACAAGATCTCTAGGATGAGAAGAAAGATGCCAGCGCCTTTTCCTTTGGGTTGGAGAGGAGACAGTGCTCAATTACTGACCTTCCTCTCTCTGGTCACATGACTTGTGCTGGTATAAAAGCTTTCTACCAGCCAGGTTCCTTACAATATTTTCCTGTGTGAAATGGGCGGTAGCAGTGGCTGAAGCTCTGTTCCTCTTTCCCAGAAGCTTTCAGCCTTTCCTTCAGGACTAATCCCAAGAAGCCATCTATCCGGAACAAAGACAACAAGGCAAGGCAGCTAGCTTAGTGCTTGCGCTCTGGGAAGTGATGCCAGGATCATCAGAATTGGAGGGGAAGGTGTTGGGGGAGCGGGGGGTCGCGGGGGCTGGAGGAAGTCTGTCAGAAACTGATTGTAAGGATCATACCTGGAAACAGGAGTCAGCGTGGAAGGCAAGGAAACACAGACCAGGACATAAAGCCTGGAAAGACGATGGAGGGGCCAGACTGTATGGGTGGTGAGGCTTACAAACTAAGTGTAAACAGTTACCCCGTTAAGAACCAGGCTCAGGAGCCAGTGACTGCCTGTGGGCTTTGCTGAATATTCTCTAAAGCCTTTTGGGGGAACCAGCCCCTAAGGATAGTGCTGGCTCACTCTTCCTCCCCACTTGCCCCACTTGCACACTTCACTGGCTTCCCCTTTTTAACACAGTCCCAGAGTCCGGTATTGGACAGGGGAGGAAAAGGTAAAGGAGAATCTGTGTTCTGCAAAAGGAGAGGAAATGAGGTAGGGAGATGGGTTGGAGGGTCTGGGCACCTGCTTTCTGGACGTGTGGTGGGGTCCTGGAGAGAGGCGGGGGCCTCCTTTTCACAGCATGTCCTCAGTGTGCGGAGGCTTGCTTTTTCTCTCTGCAGGTCTCTGACTGAGGAAGGGACTTCAGGAAAGACAGAAACTGCTAACAGTTAACTTCCTTTATCTGTGAGGAGAAAAGGAGAAAGGCCGGGGAAGCTGGAGGGGGAATTCCCTGGGGACACCAAGGGTTGGTCTCCCCCAGAGACACATGATGGCAAACGTAATAACTCCTAGTTAATATCCCGCCCCAGGCAAAGTCAATAATTGCTCTGGGCAGTTCTGGCAGGTGGTGTGAGCAAGCAGTGGTGGCAGCAGAAAGCCCAGGCCTGGGAAGGGGAGAGTGCCGGGGAGAACGTCATCCTGAGCCCGAGGTGGATTCGTAGGCTGTGAGTAGGTCCTCCTGACCCTGCCTTCTCTTAACCCTCTTCCAGAAGAGTCATGACAGACTTGAAGAGCTCCTTGATCCTTACAGCCTACATCGTTATCTTCCTCACTGGTCTCCCTAGCAACCTCCTGGCCCTACGTGCCTTCGTGGGGCGGGTCCGCCAGCCCCACCCTGCACCCGTTCACATCCTTCTGCTCAGCCTGACACTGGCAGACCTCTTGCTACTGCTGCTGCTGCCCTTCAAGATCATTGAGGCTGCATCTAACTTCCGCTGGAATCTGCCTGAGGCAGTCTGTGCCATCACGGGCTTTGGCTTCTACAGCAGCATCTACTGCAGCACATGGCTCCTGGCAGGCATCAGCATCGAGCGCTACCTGGGAGTGGCCTTCCCCGTGCAGTACAAGCTGTCTCGCCGGCCTTTGTATGGAGTGATTGCTGCTATGATCGCCTGGATCATGTCCTTTGGTCACTGCACCATCGTGATCATCGTTCAGTACTTGAACACAACCAAGCCCACAAATTCGAATGAAATCACCTGCTATGAGAATTTCACCCCAGAGCAGCTGGATGTGGTGCTTCCTGTGCGGCTGGAGCTGTGCCTCGTCCTCTTCTTTATCCCCATGGCGGTCACCATCTTCTGCTACTGGCGGTTTGTGTGGATCATGCTCACCCAGCCCCATGTGGGGGCCCAGAGGCGGCGCCGGGCTGTGGGGCTGGCTGTCGTGACACTCCTTAATTTCCTGGTGTGCTTCGGGCCTTATAATGTATCCCACCTGGTGGGGTTTTACACAAAGAAAAGCCCCCCGTGGCGAGCGGAAGCTGTGGTACTCAGTTCCCTCAATGCCAGTCTGGACCCCCTGCTTTTCTATTTCTCTTCTTCGGATGTCCGTAGAGCCTTTGGGAAAGGGCTTCAGATACTGCGGCATCAGGGCTCCTCCCTGCTGGGACGCAGAGGCAGAAAGACAGGGGAGATGACAAACGGGGACAGGGGTGTGAGTCAAGCAGAGGGAGTACCGAGTTCTGACTTCACCACAGACTAGGAATGTTCCTGTACCTTCAGAGGCCCTCGGGGCTACGTATGAGTTGAGCAGCCTGGGAGAGGGAGAACATGAGGGTTCTGTCCCAGAGTTCGGACTCCTCAGACCCCTTCCACTACTGGGACTGTAAACATCTCTCTCAACAGCTTGGTATCCCTTCCTGACTGAATTTGCCTTCCCAAAGGAACACAGCTCTGAGACAAAAGAAGAAATGGCTAGCCACAGAAGCACTAGCAGACTAACCTTTAGAAGTAATGTAGCTGATACAAATTCAAGTCCTTGTGAGGTGGTCTATCGCTTGGGGTGATCAAGTGGAAACAGAGAGTCCTAAAGCAATCTTGCCATAAGCTTTGAAACAACACTTAGACACCACTCTAGCTGTTGATGCTGGCAAGAAGCCAACAGGAAAGAGACTGAAAAGAAATACCACATGAGGTCAAAGAAAACTCAGGAAGATTCTGAGCCAAGGGGGCCAGGAGGAAGGGCTGAGGGCTTAGCTCTCTAATGATCTAGGTTTGCACTGTACTTATCTGACCTGCTGCTTTGTAAGTAAGCTCCAGTCATCTTCACGTATGTATCTTGTCTGCCCCATTAACTGGGAGCTGCCTGAAGTCTAGGTCTTGTCTTCTCCCTCCATGGCACCCCACACAAGTCAGGACACAGTTTGGCACCCATCAGTTAGAGCTCAACACTGTCTGGTACAGGAAAAGACAGCCTGGTCTGACAGATTGAAAATAAAGGTTATAAAACTCTGAAATGAGTGATCACAATTTTTGTAACATTTCTGCAAGTATGGGGAGGGCAAAAATGAGATGAAGAACCAGACTCAGCAGCAAAGGGGGGAAGATGGTGCATCTGACACCACAGAAACATCTTAAGGTAAGGATGTAATGAGAGTGAATTCAGTGAGGGTACTGATGTAATCCTGTTTAGATTGATGAATAGAGACTGGATTTAAAAAGAGCATGTGGGGTGAGCCCTGACTCCAAGTTGTCAGCATAACACAGGGGGCTTGAAACATGCTATTCTCCTGCTTAGAAACCTGCAGACTTTTCTTATCATCAAAAAGTTTTCCTCCCAGGAACTCATAGCATTCCATTGCCTGCTTTGTATCCCCTCTCCCTTCCCAGTTCTACCTGCCCAACTCGTTTCTCCACAATAAGGACCCCTAGGATGCTCTCTCTAGGTAACTGGCCCTCTAGGCCCTAGCCTAGTGGTTTGCAACAGAGACTATACATCAGAATTACATGGCGAGGTAGAAAAATAATAGAGGGGGCCACCTCTAATCTACTGACTCAGAATCTCAGGGCAGGGGCAGCAGGTGAGCTTTGAAAAGCTCCCCAGGTGATTATGATAGGCAGCTCCGGTCAGAAATCACTGGCCTATCTCAGGGGCCCAATTTGTCCCAAGAAATTACTCTTCGGAGAGACCTTTCCTGCCTATAAGTCCCCCTCACCTCAACCACACGCACCCTCATCTTTTGATTGCTTGTTCTTTCCCTTCTTATAAAGCCCCATTCAGTATTTACTTTCTCCAGAAAGACTTCCCTTATTATTTCCACCCAACCGAGAGCTCTTTTCCTGTTTTCCTTCCTCAAAGCAACACTGGACTGGTGTCATAAGAGCCCTGACTTCAGTGTTGGTTCTGCTTACTAGCTGGATGACCTTGAGCAGGTCACACCCTCCAGCCTCCATTTCCAAATCATAACAATGAGGATCATGTATGCCTTGCAGTCATTCTGAGGATGAAACTGCATATATATAAAACTGCTCAGAAATTATAAAGTATTATTTAGCTCTAGGATAGCACTGAAACACAAATATATACCCCTACTTAAGGAAATATAGTAAGAAGAAATTTAAAATGATGAAAATAATATATTAGATAGCCAACTATATAGGATGGTTTGACAGTAATGTGTGGGGGGCGGAAATCTGGGATTTTCAGCTGACTGTAGGCTTACTATGCATCTCTGATGTATTACACCTTCCAAAAAAGCTAATTTGTTTTGAGTGGTTAAAAGAAACAGAGTCTAAACAAGTTGATATCTCACTCCACTGAGGTCTATCCAGTAGCATGTTCAATATTGAGCAAAGCAAAGGGCATTAGCTCAAGGAATCAAAGGACAATAACTCGAGTTAATCGGAAAAATTAACCAAAATGTTTTGGAGATATAAAACCTAATAATAGGGGCAGCCGGATGGCTCAGCTGGTTAGAGCACATGCTCTTAGCAACAAGGTTGCCAGTTCGATTCCCTCATGGGATGGTGGGCTGTGCCCTCCACAACTAGATTGAAGGACAACAACTTGACTTGGAGCTGATGGGTCCTGGAAAAAACACACTGTTACCCAATTAAAAAAAAGAAAGAAAGAAAGAAAAACAACAACAACACGTTAAATGCCAGGCACTGTTCTAGAAAAGGAGCCTGAAACGATGAAGGGAATTTCCAAGGTCAATAAGTGAGAAGGAGTTTGAATCCAGGTCTTCCTGACTCCAGCATGCCTGCTTTTTTCACTGACACACGAGAAGTAAGTAAGAAAATGCTGGCTATGTGTCTGGAACAAGATAAGGTCCATTTTATGGAAGATGCAGTCTATGGAGCTCCATAAGGACAAACAAGGATCATGGGCAAAAGAGGCAGGGGTTTACATCTTAAACAGTCAGGGTTGTTTAAAATGGAACTGACTGCCTCGACAAGGTTATCACTCCCCAGTCTCCAGGAATATTAAAGTAGAAGATAGAAAACATCCATCTTAGAACACGGAGGAAACTCACACATCTGATAAGGGCTGAACCAGTAGCTGACAAACCCCTTCCAACTTGAGATTCCCAGAGTTTTAGGGACATGGCTGTTCTTGATAATCAGGAAAGTGCATGAAAATCTCTGGACCTGGTCTGAGACTTTCAGGGTGGAACTTCAGTTACTCACTAAGAAATATTTCATCTTCATCAAGTCACTTGTTATATAGCCCATTTCTTCACTGGGAAATTAGTAATTCATTTGTTTAACAAATATGTATTGATTACCTACTATAATCAGATAGTTTTCTAGGGGCTGGGGATGCAGAGTGTACAAGAGACAAAGAATCGGTCTTCTTGGGGCTGGCTGAGTGGCTCAGTTGGCTTGGGAACGTGAGCTCTGAGCAGCAGGGCCACCAGTTCGGTTCCCACATGAGCCAGTGACGCTGCGCCCTCCACAGCTAAGATGGTAAACAACAACTCGACCTGGAGCTGGGCTGCCATGAGTGGCTCGCGATGGCACAGGCTGCAGTGGGGCTGCAGTGGGCTGCCGTGAGCTACCGTGAGCTGCCAGCAGCAGGCAAGAGCTGCTGAGAGCTGCCGAGAGCTGCTGTCCAATGGCCAGCGACCAACTACCTCAGCCAGGAAGAGCGCAATGATCATAATACCAACATGGGCCAGTGAAGCAACATCCTCCACAACTTGACTGAAGAACCAAAGGACAACAACTTGTCTGTTCCCCTTCCCCGATTCCCCAATAAAATCTTTAAAAAAAAAAGAAAAAAGAATTTGTCTTCTTGGAGCTTCCGTTCTAGTGGGAAAAAAATAGTTAATAAAAAAGTAAACAAATAAACAATCAAGGTAATTTCAGAATGTGGCAAATGGTTTTTACAAACAGACTAAAATAGGGATATGGGAGAAAGTATAATGGGAAGTTGAGCAGATTTAGAAGATTCTCCTGAGTCAGTAGATGTTCAGCTGAGACCTGAATGATAAAAAGGAGTGGCCATACAAAGGACCATAGGAAGAGCATTCTAGAAGCAGGAACTGCTGTCTTTCCTTCCCACAGTTTCAGAATCAGTAGGTCTGGGATGGGACATAAGAGTGTTTTGGGGGTTTTTTCTTTTTCTTTTTTTACAAAGATGAAGTTTTTATTTTGAACAATTCGCAATTACTGATACTTCATTAGCTGTTTTGAAATGGTGTTTGGTGACGACACAACTACTACATAATAAGTAGTAAAACTTTGTTATAATCCTCTGTGTTTCTGTGGTATTAGCTGTCACTTCTCTTTCACTTCATTTTATTTGGGTCCTCTCGCCCTTTTTTTTTTTTTATGAGTCTGGTTAAAGGTTTATCAATTTTATCTATCTTTTCAAAGCACCAGCTTTTGGTTTCATTGATCTTTTGTATTTTTTTAGATGCTATTTTGTTTATTTCTGCTCTCATCTTTATTATTTCCTTCCTTCTACTCACTTTGTTTGGGCTTTGTTTGTTGTTCTTTTTCTAGTTCCTTTAGGTGTAAGGTTAGATTGTTTATGTGAGATTTTTCTTGTTTCTTGAGGTAGGCCTGTATTGCTATGAATTTCCCTCTTAGAACTGCTTTTGCTGTGTCCCGTAGATTTGGGGACTTTCTATTTTCATTTTCATTTGTCTCAAGGCATCTTTAGGTGTCTTCCTTGATCTCATTAACTCACATGTTCTTTAGTAACATGGTATTTAGCCTCCATGTGTTTGCATTTTTTCAGTTTTGTTTTTTTTCTTGTAATTGATTTCTAGTTTCATACCATTGTGGTCAGAGAATACATTTTATGTGATTTCAATCTTAAATTTATTGAGACTTGTTTTGTGGCTTAACATGTGATCTACCTTGGAAAGTGTTCCATGTGCACTTGAAAAGAATGTATATTCTGCTGTTTTTGTGTGAAATGCTCTAAAAATATTGAGACAGGTTAGCTAGCATGTTGTTATGTAGACAGGGAAGTCCGTGGTAGAATAAAACAAAGGCAGCCATATCTTAGAAATCCAGGTTCTGAAATGACTTATTCGCTCCAGGGCAAAAATGTAATTGCACTCTGGGAGTAAAAGGGTTACTTCACAAATCCCTTTAGGCTGGGCAACAGAGTGAATCTGATAGACAAAATCCATTAGAAGGTGCCAACTCCCTTCCCCAAGCAAGCAAGAGAAAGTATAAAAGTAAGAGCCTTTTGTCTAGCCAGTGGGTATTCCAGTTTCACGTACCCCCTCTCGTAAGAGAGCTGTACTTTCAAATCTTTGCTCCTTTACCTCTCCTTCTGAGTCTGCATTCTCATTCTTCAGGTATGTGAGACCACGATCTCTGGGCACCAGACACCAGGATCCTATATCAATATCAATTAAATTCAACTGGTCTAATGTGTCATTTAAGGCTGCTGTTTCTTGTTGACTTTTCGTCTGGAAGATCTGTCCATTGATGTCAGTGGGGTGTGAAAGTCCCCTATTATGACTGTATTACTATCAATCTCTCCCTTTATGCCCATCAATATTTGCTTTATATATTTAGGTGCTCCTGTGTTAGGTGCATAAATGTTTACAATGGTTATATCCTCTTGTTAGATTGATCCTTTTATCACTATGAAATGTCCTTCTTTGTCTCTTATTATAGTCTTTGTCTTAAAGTCTATTTTATCTGATATAATTATTGCTACCTCAGCTTTGTTGTTGTTGTTGTTGTTGTTTACATTTGCGTGAAATATCTTCTGTGTGTGTCTTTAGATCTGAAGTGAGTCTCTTGGAGACAGCATATGCATGGGTCTTGTTTTCTTATACATTCAGCTTCCCTATGTCTTTTGATTGGAGCATTTAATCTATTTACATTTAAAGGGATTATTGATAGGTAATTAGTTATGGCTATATTATTATGTATATTTATGTTCTTCCCCTCTCCCTTCTTCTCAAAGAAGTCTCTTTAACAATTCTTGTAATTCTGGTTTGGTGGTGATGAACTCCTTTAGCTTTTTCTTGTCTGGGAAGATCTT